AATTAAACCAAAAGATGAATAGAAGATTACCTTTTAAAACCAGGATGGACTTTATGAGCAGTTGGTCATGCCTTTTGAGTTGTCAAATGCACCTAGACCATTAATGTGGGTTATGACTCAGATATTGCGTCTTTTCCTAGGAAAAATTGCAGTGGTTTATTTTGATGACATCCTGATCTACAGTCGGTCTAGAGAAAAGCATTTGGATCATCTTCGATAGGTTTTATAGACATTGCGTGTGGATAAAATTCTATATGAATCTTAAGAAATGCTCCTTTATGCAAACTCAAGTATTTTTCCTTAGATTTGTCATTTCTACGCATAGTATTGTAGCTGACTGAAAGAAATTATTGTTATTGGAAAGTGGTCGGAGCCAAAAACAATTTATGAGGTTCAAAGCTTTCATAGGTTGGCCACCTTCTGCACTTTATCAAAGGGTTTAGTTCCATTATGGCTCCTATTATAGAGTGTGTAAAAAAAGGGGAGTTTCAATGGACTTCTGTTGTAACTAGTGCCTTTGAAGAAATTAAGCACAAGATGAAAGAGGCGTCTATCCTATGACACCCAGACTTTTCTGAGGTGTTTGAGGTTGTCGATGATGCATTTGAGGTACGGATAGGTAGAGTTTTGAGTCAAGAGAGTCATCCTATCGCATATTTCAGCAAGATACTCAATGAAGCTAAACAAAGATACTCTATATATATGATAAAGAGTTCTACGTTGTTGTGCTAGCTCTCCGCCATTTGAGGTATTATCTATTGTCTTATAAGTTTGTGTTGTATTCTGATCATCAGGCATTGAAATACCTTCACTCCTAAAGAAAGCTGAGTGCTAGGCACGTTAGGTAGATTAAGTCCCTTCAGGAGTATACTTTTGTTCTTTACCACTAAGCAGGCATAGAAAATAAGCTTGAAGACACTCTTAGTCATATAGTTGTTGTTTTACGGAGTATAAGTGTCTATGTTATCGAATTTGATAGGATTAGAGATGATTATGCCTCTTGCCCCAACTTGGGCATCATTTTTCAAAAAGTTCAATCAAAATGTTCGAGCTGGTAACCGTCACGAGTACATTGACTTCCTCCTTAAAGATGGTTACTTGTTTAAAGGAACACAACTAAGTATTCTTCGTACTTCACTTAGAGATTTCTTGATTTGGGAGTTACATGTGTGAAGCCTGGCTGGACACTTTGATAGGGACAAGACATTTGCACTTATTGATGATAGATTTTATTGGCCCAATTTGGGGCATGAAATTACTAGGATAGTGTCATAGTGTCGCACTTGATAGTAAGCAAAGGCTAGAAAATAAAACACTATTTTGTACATACCATTACCAATTCCAAATAGACCGTGGAGAGACCTTAGTATGGATTTTGTCGTAGGATTGCCTAAAATGGCTCATGGTCATGATTCCATTTTAGTTGTCATGGATCAGTTTTCTAAGATGGCTCACTTAATTCCTTGCACTAAGTCTACTGATGTCTCACATGTGGTAGAGTTATTTTTTAGAAAGGTCGTCTGACTATATGAGTTGCCTATTTCTATTGTGCTGGATAGCGATGTCAACTTTGTGAGTTATTTTTAGAAGACACTTTAGAAGCTTATTAGGACTAATCTTAAGTTTTCCTCAGCCTTTCATCCCCAAACTAATGGACAAACTGAGATTATAAATCGTAGTATAGAAGATTTACTTAGGTGTCTGGTGGATGAAAAAATTGGAAATTGGGAATTGTTGTTGCCCATTGTTGAATTTGCCTATAACAACTCTGTAAATAGGTCAACTGGTAAATCTCCCTTTGAGATTGTTTATGGTCACTCCCCTATACAGCCTATTGATTTAATGTATTTACTTCATGATTCCCACCCATTTGAATCGGCCGAAGCTTTTGCCTAACATATCTGTGACCAACATGCTGACATAAGACAAAAAAATTATATTAAGTGTTCACCATAGGAATTAAGAATTTAATGTGGGAGATTATGTAATGGTTCGTGTGCGTCCTGAGCGCTACCCTAGAAATTCTTTCAAAACGTTACATGCTCGAGCCTATGGCCCTTTTTGTATTCTTCATAAACTTAAACCTATTGAATATCACCTTGACTTACCTTCAAATGTGACTATTAGTCATATTTTCAATGTGAATGACTTATTTTCTTATCATAGTACTTTTGAGCCTCCCATGCTGCCAGTAGGTGTTCCTATAGGTGAAGTTGCTTCTTCATCAATATCACCAACAGTTTTGATTCTTCTACCATTTTCACCACATATGCATGACCAAATTGTAGATGTACTTGAAGATCAGATTGTTAACTCCTCTGATAGAGGGTATCATCGCTATCTTGTTCAGTGGAGAGACCATGCCGAGACTATTATTTCGTGGATTACTAAGGAGGAGTTTCATCTGCTTGATCCTAATCTTTATAAAGCATTATCATCATCGTATCTCTCCACATGCAAGTTCTTTTCGACCAGGAGAAATGATGGGAATCAGATTGTCTTTCATTATAGTAGGCATAGACATAGGGATTAGGAGTTATTTGTCATTTTATATTTTGGGACTTATTTAACATTTTGACTATTTAATTGTTTTAGAATTTGTATTCCCTCTATATATATGGGATGTGGTACTTGTTTAGACACTTTTGTTTATTAATGATTATTGATATTGCTTGCTCCCAAATTCACTTCTTTTCTCTAGAAGATTGTCTCATTCCCTTCTTCTTCTTTTCTCATCCGCTACTTCTTCCTCTTCCCAATCTACATCAAATGATTGTTTTCAATGTTAGAATTATGTTGAAAACTTAAATAGTCGGTGAAATATTTATGAAATGAAATGTTATTATTACTTTTTTTGAAAGGTATATATATTTATAAATATATTATTTAATATTCTGCGTATTTTTCGATATGCGATAGGTTATGATACACAATACATTGGATTGCACAATACCACCTTTGCCACTTGTGAGTTGTTCATTCACCTTCCAGTAAAACTCCCTAGTATGTCTATTCTTCCCACAATAATCACACTTTAAGGTATCTGTGTCATCAATGCCACTCTTATAAGTAGAAGTTACACTCACGTCCAACATGTCCAAATAATGAGATTATTTCAAAACACAAGTACCAACGGAAAAAACACAGTCGAATACTTAGGGTATAACCAGAAAATACCCCCCCAACGGGCAAAAACAGTATCCAAGTGCCCGGCGTCCCCAAAATAGTACCAAACAGTGCCAGATGCAAAATGGTGATCAAACAGCACCCAAACAGTATCCAAACAGTGCTAAACAGTACCAGACAGTAGCCAAATGCAAAACTGGAACCCTACAGACTTGGTTTTGGACTGCCGACAATATATTTTAGCCAAAAAAAACACCTAAAAAAACCATTCCAAATGCAACAAATCTGCATGGATATTCAAGATCAACATTAATCGCGCCTTGACTAGTTGATTCGAAGCAAGAACAGTTGAAGACTTCCTCAAAATCCAGATTTTCATTCGTAACAGTAGAATGTCGAAAATCAATCAAAAAATAGAAAAACTCCAATCAAACAGCTTCAAAAAATTACAGAAAAATAACCATAAATCTTAAAAAATAGGGACAAATCTGATCATATGTTTTTTGAAAAAATCTGACATGCTTCAATGCTAGTATCAACCAGTCAGATGATGATGTCAGCCTAACAAAATCTGATGACGTCCATTATTATGTTGTCCTTTAGAGTTCTTCGTTTCTATATTAAACATAAGTAAATTCGTCTAGGGTAATATTGTAATTACATTAATATTGCTCAGTTATAAATAGTGTAGAGCAACCTAGCCACTACACACTGATTATTCTCCCTCTCTCTCTCTCTTCCTATTGCCACTCATTCTTCTTCTTCTTCCTTATAAACTCTAATATTATTTTTACAACTTTAACTTGGTATCAGAGCACTAATCTGGCCTTGCATATTATTAGAAAACATCATAGACAATCTAGAGTTTTTTTCCCTGATTCGCTAACATCACTGTCATAGATGATGTAAACACACCCCCAAATTCGAAATTCTCTATTAAGAATTGTTGTTAATTTTGTTTATCTTTTTGAAGCCATCTGAATACGGTTTGCTATTTTTTAATGATTTTCATAAAAATAGAGGCGAATGTTGATCCGTTAATTTCGAGAAGATCTGGGGGGTTTCTTTGCTTCGATATGGAACAGAGGGGTGCTATGTGCACCTATGTGTGTTTGTGTGTTATGCCTAACTATTTTTGGGGTGGTTTCAACATGTTTCTAGGTTGTTAAGACTGTCGGCAGACTTGTGATGGGTTACTAGGAATTTTTTTTTGGTTCGTTTCTTGGCTTGCTGGTTGTGTTTGACGCACTGTGGAGTAGACATGGTGTACTTGTAAGATGCCATCATGTTCTGGCAGTAAAGTACATGATCTGGCATACCAAACCATGAATCTATAGAAGCTAAGGACATCAAAGGGGTATACGTTAAAAGAGGGAAACTGTAACAACTGTGTTCTTCCCTAGCTCCTTATGAATCTGCACCTAGTGTCAGCTAGTTATGACATCAAAATTCAATGTAGTTGCAGATAGATATAGGTACTACGTCAAAAAAAAAAAAAAAAACAAACAAACAAGAGTCAAAATATAGCACCAGGTTAAAAAACCCACCAGTTAAAATGTAGTGCTGTGTCAAAAAACAACAGCAGCTAAATTATAATCATTCCAATCAAGAATCCACTAAAGAGTTGAAAGACAATGGCAAATGATTTGTGAAATGTATTATGAACATCTATTAACAAGAGCGTGTACTACCGCACACAATTCGGACTTGAACCATTCATCTTTTCAAAATATATAGGAGAAGAAATATCTCAAAAATACGAAATATAGCAACCGTTACAATGATACAAGATAATAAATACAATTAAAGAACATCTAGTTTAAGCCAAGGTTTTGAAATACAGAAAAATGGTTGAAACTTCATAGAATAGAAGTTTAGACCTGGTCTTTGAACTCATTGAGAAGCTTTATTTTGTCTTTGACATCAGTCATAGCTAGAAGAGTTTGCTGAGCTTTAGCATGATCATCCCAGAGAGAGCTGTCCGCTGTTGCTATCTCCAACTTTGTGAGATCTGCTTCTAACTGCTTCAGACCAGCAGAGGCCCTCATCTCTTCGACACGTTCTGAAGTAGTTTCTACATCCTTCCTTAAGGTGTAGAATTCTGTGAGATATGTCATCATCATTAAGATATTGGGTTCTGAGGTACTTTCTACATCCTTCCTTAAGGTGTAAAAATCAGTGAGATAAACCATGACCATTAAGACTTGCAAATACTTAAGGCCTGATGGACCAGATGATTCATACATTCATGAAGATGATATTAAAAGATAGCCACCTAATACTTCCGGGCAATAAGAATATCTCCATACCGACGTACCCAACTTGCAGTTTAAAGTTCAAGGTACGTTGAATTTCATCTGAAAAGTAGTAAAACATATGTTGATTTTAATAAGCCTGTAGAGTGATCTCAGGCTAGCAGGGACCTGTTTAATTTTTCAAAGCTGATTACCACATAATATCATTAGCACAAACAAATTCATATTCCACTAGGTACAAATATATCATGTGAAGCTTGAAAGGGTCAGCACACAAGTCAGACTTCTGTTTCATCTTCTGGTATCTGTTAAATGCATTATGTTACATAATTATATAATTCAAATTCATTTAACAATTCAAGTTGACGCCTGGTATTTGAGACACAAGACCTCGCCTCATGTAAAGCATTCTATTTAAATAATGGTCCTCCCACAATTCAATTCATGTCCTCATTTCCACCAGCACCCAAGGATGGACTATTCCCACAATGTAACTAAATACAAGAGACATAAAATGCAGAACAAGACATCTTATCAAAGAACATTACAAAAAATAAAATAGAAAAGCAACAAAATATACAGAACCTAAGCACCACTATGAGCCACATAATGATCTTCCATTATGTGTTACTCTTCACATGGTACTATTCACATGTTACTTTTCACATGTTAGTATCCAGTGTGTGGTTATTGTTCATCACAAAACTTTGACCACTTGTAGGAAGATCTTTGAATCCTAAATCATGTCTGAGAAGTTGTGATGGCCGATGGTTAAGTTCCTTTGGTTGTGATTGTTGTGTGTCACTGCTGCGATTACCATTATCTCATCATTATAGTCTGTCTCTATCTTGTTCCTAATGGTNAAGTTGTGATGGCCGATGGTTAAGTTCCTTTGGTTGTGATTGTTGTGTGTCACTGCCGCGATTACCATTATCTCATCATTATAGTCTGTCTCTATCTTGTTCCTAATGATTGGGCAGTTTTGTAGAAAAGAGGGGTTTGACTAAAACCCAAATATATGTTTGTGATTGACCCATTTGTTTTACATGTTTTATTTTGGGGGTCTCTCATTCCAGTGCATGTGCCTGGGCAGCTCAGCTACCTAGTTGTGTTTGGGCATATTGTGGTCAGACTGATAGCTTCAGGAAAATGAATTTTTGGCCTCTAGAGCCAGCAGGCTCTAAATGAACTCCCTCTCACGGTTAAAAAAATGGTTAACCAACTCGAAAAAATACATATCGTTCATCCGAAAAATGTGTTTCAATTACAACCAGAGGATTTCACTATAGTAGTTTTGGAGAATGTAAAGACCCTATCAATGGATCATCAAGTTATACTTGTTCATTCAGTGGATGATCAGACTAGACAGATCACTTCTATCTCTTGTCTTCAACACACTTTTCTTAATCATAGGACTTCTCCATCTACACAAGAGTACTCTGCCTTAAAATCTTGTGAGAGTAATCGTAATGGTCATGATGGCAGTCGTGGTGGTCGATGTACTGGCCATGATGGATATTATAATCATGGTAATCATTCTCAGTGAAAGTGTACTTATTGCGGTGACACTGGACATACGAAAGATTATTGATGGGATAATAATGGGAGATCAGCATATGCTAATCAACCTTTTGATGATACTTCATGTTCTCTAATGCATCAGATTTCCACCTGTTAGAATATATAGAATGGCATTTATGTAATAAATATATTCCAAGAGGGATACAGTAGTCTTTAGTCATATTGAGATACATATACTTATGAGTTGAAAGGGAATGCAGGGTAACCACTTCCAATTCTTTCTTACGTCTCTCTTTCTCTCTCAAACATTTACATGGTATCAGAGCAAGGTTCTTAGAGTTTGTCCTTGTCTCTCCTATCTTCTACCATAATAATAATAATAATAAATATATATCTATAGTTTCCCGACAGTTTGTTGTAGGTGTTAATCTCCAGTTGATGAAGTTGACCGTGCTGTGATTCAAAGGGTGTTGATGCCTGTTGCGCGTCATCGTTGATTGTCTTTGGTTCTGGTGGTGGGTTGCTGACTGCACCTCAGTGCTGATGGTGTTGGTCGGATCGGTGTGGTCTTGGTGTTGCTCTGGTGGTGGTNCTTCAACACACTTTTCTTAATCATAGGACTTCTCCATCTACACAAGAGTACTCTGCCTTAAAATCTTGTGAGAGTAATCGTAATGGTCATGATGGCAGTCGTGGTGGTCGATGTACTGGCCATGATGGATATTATAATCATGGTAATCATTCTCAGTGAAAGTGTACTTATTGCGGTGACACTGGACATACGAAAGATTATTGATGGGATAATAATGGGAGATCAGCATATGCTAATCAACCTTTTGATGATACTTCATGTTCTCTAATGCATCAGATTTCCACCTGTTAGAATATATAGAATGGCATTTATGTAATAAATATATTCCAAGAGGGATATAGTAGTCTTTAGTCATATTGATATACCTGTTGCGCGTCATCGTTGATTGTCTTTGGTTCTGGTGGTGGGTTGCTGACTGCACCTCTGTGCTGATGGTGTTGGTCGGATCGGTGTGGTCTTGGTGTTGCTCTGGTGGTGGTGTTGGTTTCGTTGAGTGGTGTTATTGCCAGTGTTGCCTTGTTCCAGCGTTGCCTGTAGCAGTGGTGTCCACTGCCCTAATTGCAGTCGGTGTGAAAGGGAAAACCCTTGTTTAGCTACTTGTTTAGTTAACTGCAATCCAACCATCTCTATTCCTCAATTGGGTAAGGAAACTGGATTAAGCCCACGTCCAGCTTAGCCTAACTAGATGAGGCGCAGTTAGAAATACAGTCAAGTAGTCCAACCCATTGATCCAACCCAGCAGATTTGATCCAGCCTAGCAGATCTAGTTGGTCCAGCCCAGTTAGGCATCGAAGTCCAGTCCAGTAGATCCGGTTGGTCCAACCCCCTCAAATCGATTCACCTCAATTGGACCAGTCCATCCCAACTGGTTCAGGCACCCACTGTGTTATTCGGTCCAGTTCAGGCAGCTTCTATGCCGATTCAGGTATCTCCAGGCTGGGTCTGTTTCATTCAGCACCGGTTCTGCTTCATCTTGGGGCAGTTCAACAGTCCTCAGACTGATTCTGCGTCATTTACCACCAGTTCAGCAGCCTACAAACCAATTCGACCTTGGTCCCTGGCGGTTCAGAAGCCTCTAGCTCCAGTTCAGTCCCCTACAAACCGTTCAGCCTTGGTCCCAGGCGATTCAGTAGCCTCCAGCTCCAGTTCAGTCCCCCATGGACTCTATTTCTACCTGTCATCTTTTTTGGCAGCCTCCTTGCCTTATTTCTTCCTCTAATCATGGATCCTAAGGTAGATACTGTGCCTCTAACTACTAGTCCTGCTCCCATAATCTCTGTTCCTCCACCCAATTTTTCAACTACCTCTTTCTTTAATGCTCCTATAACCTCTGTCAAATTAAATAGGAGTAATTATGTATTGTAGGCATGGTCTGTCAATATTTTTCTCAAGGGTAAAGGGCTTTGTTGCCACTTGGTAGACAACAACCCCGTAGATAGTGATTCTAGTTTTAACCAATAGAAATAGGCAGATGTACAGATTATTTCTCTTATTGACTAGTATTGAGCCTCACATCAGTTCTTCTTTACTTTATTTGGATACTGTCAAGGAGATTTTGAATCGTCCGACTCACGTGTATTCTGGTATTGTTAGTTGCACTTGCATCAGCTTACTACTTCTGATGTTTCCAAGATGGAAAAACAACGTGATGTTGTTCGCTTTTTGACTGGGTTGCAATCCGACTATGAGCCTATTCGTGCATAGATTTTGGGCAGTCCTCAGCTTCCTTCTCTTTCAGATGTGTTCTCGCGTCTTCAACGTGCTACCCTCTCCCATGCTCCATCTCCGTTGACTGCCGAGCCCATCAGTGACCGATCAGCTATAGTGGTCTCTCTGCATGGTTATGGAGGCTCTCGTGGAGAATGTGGTGGATGAGACGGTCGTGGTATGCGTGGTGGTTCTAGTAGTTCTCGTGGGGGACGTAATGGTAGAAGAGGTCGGGACACTCGCTGGTACACTCATTGTGGTCGTAGTAACCACACAGTAGCATATTGTTGGGATTTACATGATAAACACTCTATCTCGGCTCATCAAGTATCTTCTCACGATGATGTCCCGAAAGCAGCCCACTACTACTTTCACTCCGTCAAGTACGACATCTGCTTATTTATTATCTTCCACTTCTAGCTCATGGATCATTGATTCGGGAGCCTCAGATCATATGACTAGTTCTTTTAGTTAACTACTCAGTGTCATTCAGTCACTCCATCTCGCAGTGTTACTCTTGCCAATGGGTCCTCCTCACAAGTTTTAGGTTTGGGTAGTGTGTAGCTTAGTTCTTCTTTCTCGTTGTCTTCAATTTTACATATTCCTCAATTTCCCTTTAGCCTGTTATCTATTTATAAGATTACTCGTTTCCTTAACTGTTCAGTAACCTTTTATCCATCTTGTTATTTCTAGGATTTCAAGACAAAGAGGAAGATTAATATAGGGCATGAATCTGGTAGTCTCTATTACTTTGACTTTCAGCCTCCTCCTCGAGCCTTACACACCTCATTATCTCCAACAAAAAGGTATTACTCATCAGACATCATGTGTTCCTACACCCCAACAGANTTCAGCCTCCTCCTCGAGCCTTACACACCTCATTATCTCCAACAAAAAGGTATTACCCATTAGACATCATGTGTTCCTACACCCCAACAAAATGGTATGGCTGAGCGCAAGAATCGTCATTTATTAGATATCACTCATGCTCTCCTGTTTCATATGCAGGTTCCTAACTGTTTTTGGTGTGATGCTGTTTTAACTACATATTATCTTATTAATAGTTTGCCCTCTACGGTCTTACATGGGTCTTCTCCTCATTGTGTATTGTTTCCTCAGTCTCCACTATTCTCTATTACTCCANTAGTTTGCCCTCTACGGTCTTACATGGGTCTTCTCCTCATTGTGTATTGTTTCCTCGGTCTCCACTGTTCTCTATTACTCCAAAAAATGTTTGGTTGTGTTTGTTATGTTCATAATCTTGGTCCGGGCCTTGGCAAACTAGATCCCCACGCCACCAAGTGTATCTTTTTGGGTTACTCTCGCACACAAAAGGTTATCGTTGTTATAGCTCTATTCTTCATTGATACTCTACATGCGCTAATGTTACCTTCTGAAAATCTACACCCTATTTCTCTGCCCCATCTGTTCCTCTTACTTTTGTCCCTAAGTCATCTCTTTTACCTGGTGTTCTTCCATTGCCTGATACTATTCTAGTAATCTCATCTCCTATGTCTGTCTCTCCTCCTGTTTGTTCCATTACCCCCTCACAAGTTTACACTCTTCGATTGCGGCTGGCAATCCAGATTCTATTCCACTACCAACTTCTTCATTGTCTTCGGATCCGGCTACTTCAGTATCCTCCGACTTGTTATCGATTGCTCTTTGTAAAGATCCTACTGCTAACTTTGTTTATTCTCGTTCTCTATCTCCTTTATTTTCTTGTTTTACCACTCAATTGTCTAGTGTGTCCGTCCCTAAGACTGTCTCTGCAGCCTTATCTGATTCACGTTGGCGTCAA